AAAAAAAAAAAAAAAAATGTTGCCCGGGCTAGTCTAGAAATTGTAAGCCTCCTACCTCAGCCTCTTGATTGGCTGGGCCATTACAGGCATGTGCCACTGTGCCCAGCTGAGGGGGCATTTCTAGGAGTAGAACAAGCCAGGCAGGAAGGAGTTTGGGCTAGACAGGAGAAATTCCAGCCAGCGATCCCACAGCTAGATCTCAGTTGCCACTGTTTAGCTGCCAGGGTTTTCCAGCTGCTCCAGGAGGGCCTTGACCTCCCCCTCTACTCGCAGCAGCTGGGCCTTGCGCCAAGGATTAAGGGTGGCGCCTCGGTTATCTTCCAGATCCCGAAGCAGTAGCTCGAGGTGGCGCCGGACCCGGGTCCAATCCCAGCTGTTGAGGTTCCTCTGTACTTCGCTGAGAATCACTGACCAGTACTCCGACACGGCTGCCCCCTCTGTTAGTGAGGCCACAACCCGGGCACCACCTTCAGCAGTGTTCCCCAAGTCTCGCAAGACCTGGCGGCCCTCTGAGCTCAGTTCATTGAAGTAAAGGCTGTCAGGAAAGAGAAGGACAGATATCACTCATTGCTCATCGGATATCACTCATCAGGGGCCAGGAATATGGCTCGGTAGAATAAGCGCTTGCCTGATAAGCACAAGGGCCTGAGTTCAATACCTGGTTCCACAAAAAAAAAAAAAAGATATCACTCATCAGCAGACAGGACAGGCACCTTGGCCACCAAACTCCAAAGGGTAAAAACTTGCAATAAGCCCATGATAGTGAGTGTGGGCCAATAGAAGGAAGGGACCCGGGGAGATACCTCAGTAGAATAAGCACTTGCCTGGCAAGCGCAAGGGCCTGAGTTCAATCCCCAGTTCTGCCAAAAAAAAAAAAAAAAAAAAGAAGGCAGGGACCAACATGACACTCCAGTAGGACAGGGATAATAGATCCCGAGGAGAAATGGCAGTAGGGAATCGGGACAGGGTAAGGCCTAGTCACAGAGAAAGGGGTGGTTCAGTACTGGATTGACAGGGGTCAACCAGAATCCAGGAAGAGAGGACAGACACCAGGCCCAGACCCAGAGCAGTCCTGGGGCAGGAAGAACATGGTGGAGAGGAAAGGACTGAGGGGCAGGGGCCATGGGACCAGGGACAAAACTCACTGCAGCAGCTCCAGAGAAGGGTGCTCCCTAGCAGCCTTGGCCAGCGCCAGGGCTGCCTTGTCACCAGCGCCATTGTAGGCCACATTCAACTCCTGCAGCTGGTGGTTATGGTCCAGCTGGGCAGCCAGCAACTCCAGGCCCTCGTCCCCAAGACCCGTGTGCAGCAGGGACAGGTGTGTCAACGAGGTGTTTCCTTTCAGCCCTTCCAACAGCAGGGAGACACCTGCAGCTGTCAGTGGGTTGTTAGACAGCCTAGGGCCACAAGCAACTGAAGGTTAAGAGGGCCCATGGCAGACGTTCTGTGTCGGCATCAGGACTTGGGCTAGACAGGACACAGTCTGCAGTGGAGATAGCCTGGATACAGAAATGCAGGCCCAGGAGAAGGGGAAAGGGACACAGAGGTTGTGGCCCCTACCAAGGAGGGACCAAGAGGGAGGAGGGCTTTCCTCTTTTCTTCTCCCTTGTTCCACCTCTTTTCTCCCTGGCTCCCTTCCTCCCTCTCCTCTCCCTCTTCCTCATCACTATTTCTCATCTTCCTTTTTTCGCTGCTTCCCCAGCCCCTGCTCCTCCCCTCTCTCTGGCTCCTCCCTATCTCCCCTTACTCCAAACAGAAATGAGGAGACCAGCACATCAGCCAGTACTTGGGAGCTCCTGGGGAGTGCCCAGCCTTAGGTCATCCTTGCCAGGCTGCAGGAAGAGTCCTGGGAGGGATCAGTAGCTCTGTTACCAGGCAACCAGCCCAGTTATTACTGAAACCTTCCTGCCCCTTCACGATGTAGGCAGGCTTTCTCAGCTGCTATTATAGGGGCATCCTCCCCTATCCCACTAGAGTAAAGCACCTGGCTTGGGGGCTGCACAGGGTCTTGACTCCAACTCCCCGAGCTGTGCCAAGTATGCTGTGAGGCAGGGAGTCACCCTCAACCTGCGCTGGCCCCCAGGACGGCCAGAGCCTCCTGCCCACAGCCCTCCCAGGGCACTCACCGCAGGGTGGTAATTTGGCACTGGTCATGCAGCAGCAGGTCTCGGAGGTCCCTGCAGGCCTCAGGGCCCAGGCTGTTCAGCTGCAAACTAGAGTGGAAAGTGGCCAGAGAGGAAGTGAGAGCAGGGAGGGAGGTCAGGATAGACTTCCCATCCACAGTGCCCTTCCCCATCCAGTCTGCCTCTTGCATCACACTTGTCCCCCACCTGTGGCTCCTGTCACCTCCGCCCACAGCAGACTTCATCCCACCCTGATATGGTCTGAATGTAGTTTGTTCCTCAAGAGTTCTTAAGGTAGGAGGCTTAGTCTCCAGTGCGGGAGCCACTGCATTAGGGACCAAGGTGGCAGAGCCTTAAGAGAGGAGGCCCAGTTCAGGGCAGTTAGGTCACTGGGGGTTCCCCTCTTGAAGGAGATTAATGATGGCCTTGCAGAGTAAGTCCTCCTGAGAGCGGGTTGTTTAAGAGCCAGACCATTCTGTGCTCGGCCTCCTCTGCATGCATGCCGCAGTGCGGCCAGTGGAGCCCTCTACAGAGGCTGAGTCACTGCATCTGCCCAATCTTGGACTCTCCACCTCCAAACTGGGAGTTAAATACTTTTTTTATAAAGTATCCAGCCTCGAGTGTTTTGTTATAGCAAGAGAAGAGATGAATATACACCCTTTGGTCCTCTTCAGGATCTTTGCTTTCCCTAGCACTTTCTCTCCCCCAACCATCTCTCTCCATGTCTGCACCTGTGAAGGCAGGTCCTCACCCCAGCTTCCGGGCACGCAGGAAGACAGGCATGAGCATGCGCAGCCCAGCAGGGTCCAGCTGGCAGGAAGCCAAGTTCACCTCATCCAAGGTATGCTTTCCACTGCCCAAGACAGTTGCCACCACTGTACACTTGAGGGGTGTCATGCGCACACCTGCCAAGTTGAGCTGGCGCAGGGAGCTCAGCACCTCAGCAGAGAAGCGCTGGTTCTGGAACTCATAGTGGAAGAAGAGGTAGTCAAGGAGCTCCGAGGGGGGCAGTGCCTGTCGGCCCAGCTTGCCCAGCTTCTTCTTGATGGCCTGGGCATTCTCCAGGGCATCCAGGTTCTTGATGGGGCACCCAAGCTGAGCCAGCACTGCCCGGTTGTGGGCAGACAGAAGGCCCCCCATGAACACAGGGAAGAGCTCAAAGACTTCATCCTCAGGGGGCTCATCGGGGTGGCGCCGGGGGCCCTCTACACCCAGGATACTGGCACCCATCTGGTCCAAAACATCATCATTGTAGTAGTCCTCCTCTCGGAACATCTCCAGCACCATGGCCTGGGCCACGGCCTCCCGGCTCTTCCCCACCAAGCGCCCAAACACTCGAGGAACCACCTGGAAAAGCAGCAGGGAGGTAGGGTGCTGGGACCTCCCACATGCTGGCTCAGCTGCCATGGTGCAGGTTAAGGCCCAGCCCCTCCTGCTCCAGCCTGACAACATGAAGGGTCACACTGCTCCCCTGCCACGGCACCCCACTCCCTGTGTGGCAAACTAAACAGCCCAGAATGCAATGCTTTCCATAATCTGGCCCAGCTGGACCTTTCCAGGGCCATCTGTCAAACACCTGTCTCACGCACTCCAAGCATTGGGGGCTTCTTTTTTTTTTTCCCTAAACATTCCCCATGCATTTCCATGCCCAGAAGATGTTAGGGAGGCATGAGCATATGCTGCTGTCCTCTGGGGTCTTCAGGAGCTCAGTTCTCAGGACCCCTGACAGAGACCAAAATCCCACGAACGCTCAAGGTGCTTATGTAAAATGCTGTAGTATTTGCATCAGGCTTACCCATATCCTCTGTATATTTTAAATCGTCTCTAGATACTTAAGATACTTAATGTAATATAAAAACTATAGGGGCCATGGAGCTAGATCAGTGGTCTAAGCACCTGCCCGGCAAGTGTAAGGGCTCGGATTTGATCCCTGGTACTGCATGCCATGCCAGCCCCATGCTGAGCCGACCACTAAAACCAGGCGTGGTGGTGCACCCCTATCATCCCAGCACTGAGAAGGCTGAGACTGGAGGATCACTACAAGTCTGAGCTGTGTAGCAAGACCTTGTGCCAAACACATAAATAAATAAATAAATAAATAATTTTTAAAAATATATATCAAAGCTATGTAAATAACAATTACACTGTGACTACACATGTAAAGTGTTATACTGGATTGAAAAAGTTTGTGCATGTTCAATGCAATGTTTTGCAAAAAAAGTACAAATAATCTCGGGTGTGTGTGTGCGTGTGTAGAGAAATTGCACCCAGGGTCACATGCATACTAAGTACCCTCTGTACTGAGCTACATCTCAGTTCCATTTTTCCTTTTTCAAATACCTTCATCTGCACTTAGCTGAATACGTGAGAGTGGAAGCAGCAGGTACAGCAGGCCAGCTGGGTTATGCAGTTGGTGTGAGCCCAGGCTAGGTACTAAGCTACACCATGATCGTCAAAGTTCTCATCATCACAGCAGCTACAATGGACGCAGCTCCCA